AAACAAAAACGACCATACCTGATCTGTGATTGATGTAATATATAAATTTATCACTTGCTTGGAAATCAAATTACCTATTTTTCATACAAAATATTCATTCTGAAGAAGAACTTTTCCAAGCTAAGTTTTTCAATATTTTTTTCTCGCAACATTTTCAATATTTAATAGGAAGATGTAGTAACTTTGTTTTGCTAAAGCAGTTTTAAAATTTAATCAGGTGTTACTGTAAAAACAAACGCTAAACACATTTTAATAATACAAATACTTCTCACGGAAAACAATGTGTAATTGTAAAGTGGTATGCGTTGATCAAGGGTACCTACATTCGAGGACGGAATTGACGATGGGAATCCACCTCGTTAGTATCATACGCCAGCACAATATTCCAAGTCATGTTGTTGTCATCTGTCCTTTGGAATATAACAACGATTGGTTTCTATTATTTTCGCAATAGAGGAGTACAATTCTTCGAGGTCTTGTACTTACTCTACATTATTACGCTGGTAAAAAGATTTGTTTGGGAGGAAACTCGATTTATTGATACTTTTTTAGATTTTTAATAGATCTAAGAGGCTTTTAGTGGCCATTTAGAAATATTTATTGATTCAAAATACTCCTTAACCCATTATTGAGCTCTTAGTATTTATTTTTACAAGTTAAGAAATAGTTATTTCTTAAATATTGACAAATCTTATTGATTTTAATTATTTAGATCGTCAATAATTCTTTACTAATATTAAATATCACTAATCAAAAAGTAAATTCTCCAAATTAGTCGCTAATGATTGAATTAAAAACTAATTTTATTACATTGATAAAAAAAATAAACTTGATTCAATAGAAAAAATCTGTTACTAAAAAAATCATTTACAAAAGTAAAAAAATAGTGATATTAGATATCATTAATCAAAAAATAAATTTTCCAAATTAGTTGCTAATGATTAAATTGGTCACTAATTTTACTACAATAATTTCTTTTCTTTTGTTTTATGAACTAAAGTCATTAGATAGTAATTTGGATGGACTTTGCTTAGAAACAGCGTTACTTTTCTTATTTTTACTGTCTTATTATTTTCATATCCATTACTGCTTAACTATTTTTTTATTATTACTATGCATTCATTTCTATGTAAGGCTCTTAGGGAGCTAAGGCTTCAGGGTCTAAAATTTTGATAAATAAATAAATAAATAAATGATGAAAAAATTAATTTGATTCAATAGAAAAAATTTGTAACTAAAAAAAATCATTTGCAAAAGTTTCATTCTCATAAATGAAGACAAAAAATTATTGAACCAATAAATAGTTCTTACCGATATTTTAGTTAGCTTAATTATGGCTAGTCTTGCAACAAAGAATCAGCATAACTGTTACAATGTTACCAGCGTAGAAAGAAACGTAACGCATAAAAATTAAAATAAGCAAGTGCATAATAACAAAACAAGTGATTTGCAAGCCCATTCTTGTTGTGTCTTGCGCTCAATGTTTTACTTCTCAACTCATAAATGACGGAACAGCGTTGTATCGGTGCTTTTGTTCCTACACATACACTTTTATAAGTACATCAGCTAAATAAAACCACAGCGGAAAGTAGATGGAACCCAACACAAGTTGAGCAAAGTACCCAGCAGGTTACATTGCTTGAGCTCTTCATAGAGAGTACAACCGAGCTCGTTACCATTGCCCTCGGCGGTAAATGTAACTAAACTGCGGTGTTGTTTTTATTTTTTACCAAGTAGGCTTTTTCCCAGTACAGCCTCGACTATTTTCGCGGGTCTCTTCTCTTGGAGATCTTCGCTCTTCGTGTAGTCTTCAGTGATGATGTAGACGCTCAAGCCTTATATTTATTCTTCTCGGCGGTGTTATGTACGTACACGCCGTTTTTGCATTAATGCTTCTTAAGAGCACAGAGTGGATGTGGATGTATCTTCCGGGCACTGGGATGCACATTACAGCCACTCTTTTCCACAAACTATCGGGTTAAATTACCTTGTACATCAATTGGCAGCCGACGATGAGTTTTAAGCTGGTATGAGGCTCAAGTTCCAGTTGCCCGCCTGCATATTTACTATGTTGTAGACTGTAGACTGGGCATGCAAGGATGGATAGTAGATGGATGGATGGATGGATGGATGCTTCGGTCCCTCTTTGCTCACTTATAATCCACGAGATGGAAAGAATAGAGCAAGAACTAAGGACTAAGATACGGTAGTTTTACTTACAGGAGCCTGTTGTTATTTTTATGGTGTGTGCCGAGAAAGAAAGCAAGAGATCATTGCACCGGAAGAGTAGACACGGTTCGTGAGGCCGGTGTTAATTCAAATTAAGATTCCGCGTATTAATAATCTCGAAATCTTACTTTGTAACTGTACGTTCAAAATGACAAAATCGATTACAATTCCACTTTAATGTTTAATACTCGTAAAAAAAAAATTAAATCTCATGAATTTTATTCTTAAATTTATATTTTGAAGTAAATTTTCATATTTATCATATTGTTAGTGCAGTAAAAAATTTTTTTATTATTTTTATAATAATTTCTATCAAACTTATGATAAATTTTTTCTCTTTATTGCTTCAATTTCTGCCGTAAAATAAAGCTGAAAATTTTGAATTTAATTAATCGACTTTTTTTCAAGTCAAGAAAAAAATTTGATAAATTAAAATTGAAAAAATCGTTAAACTTTTCCAACTTCAATGCACAATGTACACACCAGAATACTATAAATAAAGCAAATACTTACAAAGAGCAAATATTTGTTTAATTTACCGTCGGTTTTGTGCAATTACAGTCAGTATCAGTGCTTCTGTATCAATCCGATAGCACACGTGTCTCGGTGGAGTGTAAAATACACTTGTCAGGATCAAGAAAAATAAGCACAATGCACACCGGGGGTCTGTCTTCTTTTTTGTTGCTTTCTGTCTTTTATTTTTTCTTGCTTTTTTATCGCATTTATACCATACGTAACATCTACACCGGAGAAGACTAGACGAGACGGGTTTATTGACGCAATACGTATACATTACATTCAACTTATGCGCTCGTACTCTGTGCTTTGCAAATAGGAAAAAGTTTATGTCTAAATCACGAGAGTCTAAAAATAACGGAATCTTCAATTTCTTCTCTTATTCTTCTCTTTCATCTTATTACAGCCACATTATTATTATAACTTTTATTTCCATTCAATGAATACCTAACTTTTTAATTTCTAAGTTTTCCCATGTTCTACCAGCTACCAGCATGCCATACTGCGTCAAATAATAATATTACCAAGTTAAATTAATTTTTTACGTGACAGATTTTTTATCCATCCCTTGGAATGGAATGAATTTGGAGAAGATCGGGGCTAAGAAGTGATGAAAATTCTCCGTGGGTAGTGGTTGGTTGAAATTTCAATTTTCTCTACTATTTGTCAGGAGCTCCTCACACTTTTTTTTTCTATTTTCTGTTAATTCTAACATCCACAATTTTTTTTAATTTTTCTTCTCATATTTACTTGTCACGACGGGACCTGGGCGTGGGCTGAGAGAACATAATGCCAAAGTAAAATAGAAAAATCTGTGTGCATTTACAGGTTAAGACAGTACAAAGTATACTTTAGGTATGCGCGTACAAAATGTCAACCCAGACAGGTAGACACTGACAACACCTGGAATGCTTTGCTCAATATAACACAAAGCATCTTCCTCTATCAAAAAATCAGAATACTCTTCCTTAGAAGAAAGTAAGACTTTATTTTCGAGATGGAGTAGACTACACTCAGCTATATACGATGTTAGTCTATAGCTCTCAATTGCCTTTACAGAATATAATACTCCATGATATTCTTCTGAGCTTAGCTGGTTTTTAAATAAAAGTGTGACGCTGTAAAACGACGAGATAAGGGGGTGTTATATAAAGAAAAAAACATTTTTTTTTTCTGAGAGTTGCTGCGTGTGCGCGAAACGAAAAAGACGCCAAGGAAAGAGTTGTAAAGGAGGAAAATTCTGGAGCTCGTTGAATTTTTATAAGCTCGAAAAGCATCAAAGTCGTTTGTCTCCTCGGTATATTCTTTCTCATAATTTTCCCAACGGCATTTATTTTTTCACCGTTTCTTTATCTTGTAGATGAAAATGCTGATGCTTAAGTTAAGTATTCACAATTTTTAATTACCAAGTAAATGAATTTTACTTTTTATTAAATCTAAATATTTGTGCAATAAATAAAGGTGTCGCTGAATTATTTTTTATGAAGAGATAAAAATTTATAATAGAAAACATTCATTTTTTATCGGAGAAAAGTAAACATAATAATACACATTAGCATGTGACAACAGTGGAGTAGAAACTCACATCTCTTTTCCTTTTGTCATATTTATCATTGTCTTTTACTTTTCGTTGTATTCCCACTTGTCTTGATGATGCGCATCATATATCCGAACTGTAACTGCAGGCAAAGTTAACTTTAACTTTAACTTCCAGAAACTGTAGATGTTGAGAGAAAAGAGAGACAGATAGAGAGTTTAGTTGTGCGGTTTATAAAATGACACTGCCTACTGAAGTAGTTTATTCAGTGACTTGAGATGTAATACCCTATTTTTATTCCCACACACAGAAATAGGAACGCGCGAAAGGAAAAAATTAAACTTAAGAAGAAGGAAGATAAATACTGAACTTGTATTTATATTTCATCCCGCAATGCTGAGTAGATTGCGTTGAATGCACGCCTCAAAATGGATCATCGCCAAGTAAAGTAGAAATGAGATTACAAATATATATACTGGGGGTATAGGAGTAGCGACTGAAGCTTAGCTGATAAAGGTAAAGGAAAAAGAAGAGATAAAGGATATATTAAGGTAAAGGTAAACCTTGGTCTACTGTAACAATAACGGAGAATGGAGGCAATAGAGCGGAATCGAAATCGATTCGGATTTGGACTCTGGCACGTACAAAGCCGCAGCAGAGAACGCTTCTGAAGCTTCCGCTCTTATCTGTTTACCATTTGGCGCATAAGCGGTAAGCAATGCACAAGCATATGAACCAGGTGAGGAGTCCAAATGGTTCTCCACCTGTTCGGGGGCAGGTTAAACGCTGGAATAGCTTCCACGGTGGCGGAAATTTTGAGACTAATCCTTCGAATGTTAATGGCGAGAGATGTCTCAGTCCCAAGAGCAATCTTGAGCACTACAGGGCTGTTCCCAAAGCCGTTCAGGTACTCAGAAGTGAAAGTGTAGACCGAGGTCATCGCATTCAGCCGCCACCACCCCCGGCTTTTCCTCGACGACGTTTTTCTGTTTGGTGAGTTTTACTTTACCAATTATTTCTTTTATGTTACCAGGTTACGGTAATATTGTGCTGTCTTTTTGATTTATTTATTGAGCTGTAGAGTTTTATTTATAGAAATAAAAAAACTTAAATTTTGGTGGATTTGTTATGTACTAAAATAAGTTTGAATTTTTATTATTAAAGAGGAAAAATTGAATTTTTTTCTTTTTTAAAAGTGTCAATTTAATGATAATAAATTAGCAATAACAATAATTTAATGATAATCATTCCTAAAAAATTGTACAAAATTCAATTCATTTTTAAATTATTCAATTTTTAAGTACAAATTTATCAATGAAAAATTTTAATGGAAATCAATTGTATATTGGAAAAATGTAATTAAAAAATTTATTTACTGTACTTTTTCCAAGTTATACCCAAAAATTCACCGCAAAGAAGGAAAGAAAACGAATAAGATAATTTTTTTATTTTTATGGCAGAAACAATTATGTAATTTTTTAGAAATGTGTTTCTATTATTTAATAATAAATTACCAAGCCATAAAAATAAATGAATAAAAAAGATTTCCCATATTGTTTTATTAAAAACATCAAGCGATAATTTATATCGATAAGTAAGTAATTAATGGGTTCAATTAAGGGAAATAGGAATTAATTTGTTTGAACACAGCGCGCATTGAGAATAACAAAACAGCTGGATGTGTATTTCGGCGGTTGTTGAATTGTAAGCATAGGCGGCGATGAACTTTCCAAGGGTAACTCTTGTGACAGAAAGCACAAGGCCATAGTCCAGTCATCGCCGAGTAAACCGAATATGTACACACCGCTATACAAAATATATTATATCACTATACTCACTAGACTATATACCATACTACGCCGTACATAGACACGTTGAGGATGAGAAACTGGACTATATGCAGGGTCTATAGGGGTTAGGTATGCTATTCAATTGGTAAAATGAATAAGGGGATAGCAGCAACGTAAATATTTTCTCATCACTCTGAGTGGTAGACGGGCTACTGTCTATATGTCTATGTCCCTGTATCAACCGAATAGAAATAACTTTGTCAGGATAGAAATAGTAATAGTTAAAGTATATAGCAGTACGTCAGGCAGTTAACAGCTCTTGCGACTTGTCGTTTTCATTAAAGTTAATGCCAGCAACCAGGAAGTTTATCCGTTTCAACATCTATATCTTTATCACTGAACAGTTAACTAAACCAGATGCTTTTTATTCTTTCTCTTGTACATACTTTATCTTCCCACTGATGATTTACAAGCCACAATGTTAAGTGTTTTCACATTAAACAAGACATATATAATATATAATGTATAATGTGAAGTGATATTAAAGGTGGCAGAAGCTCAAAGACCGCCGGAGATGGGAAAAATTAAAAAACGAGAAAGAATATTCATTTTTCCACCGAGAAAATTATTCTGGGGATGAATAATCCTCCAGCCTTGGACTATACAATTCCTTGATGAAATATTTTTTTAATAAATCAAAAATTGAACAATATTTTCCTTGAAAATTTAATAAATTAAGATCTAGATCAAATCAACCAACGCCTTATAAAAAAAAAATAAAGTAATCACCTAAATGTTGAATACTTACGTTTCAGCCGAAAGCTTGTTTAAGCAGTCGTTGGTCGTAAACTAAAATTGATTGGGCTTGTGCGTGCCAGTAATTTACAATTAGGTAAAACACGTCTCTGTAGCAAGCGATAACTATATAACTATGTAACTATATGTATTTATGGGAGTCAAGGTAACAGTTCAATGCTCGGCTTGAAACTCTCAGTCCTAAACAAGATAATGAAATTGAATGGCATTGGACATCAACCCCCACTGTTTCTTCTAATCAACCCTCGTAGGTCTCACCGCAGTGACGGTGTGTTGGGCTATTACGAGTAAATAGGTGGTTTAAGCTATTGTCTACATACATATATGTCTAGTACATAGAGTATAATGGTATGTATGTGATATGCGAGTCTATTCAATGACCAAATCTATTATATGTAATGGTACGTACGTATCCCGTAGCCATAAGAATTGAAAAAAGATAGCTATAACCAGCATATGCGTTTCAAAATGCCTACTGTTTGTGACGCATCGCAGCGCTCCCTGAAAATCCGAGCCCCTTCGTTCGATTAATCTAGCGATTGCCATGCATCCATGTAGCTAATGTTTTCTTGAATTAGTACTTCTAGTACAATTTCTTTCTTTTTTTTTCTTTTAACTCTATTAATTAACCGCTAAAATATGAAATTTTTTTCGAACAAACTTAATTAAAAAAAAAAAAAACAATTATTATTCAAAACACAAATCCTTCAAACAAAATCAAAAATTATTCACGTTTTTTCATTTTACTTATCAAAAATTCTAAAAGATGGCGCTAGTGTCTTAATCTTGAAACTATACATGAAAATGGCGTTTTCTTTGTTAAGAAAGTGGGATTTTTCAAAAAACAACTTTCCAAAATGTAAAAACCATGCAGTCTAATTATTTATTTTTTTTTTTTAATTTATACAATTCATAAATTTGAACATTGAAAAAAATTCTTAATTATTAAATTTCATCAAAAAGCTTTATAATTAAGAACAATAAAAAATTCTTAAGTTTTACTAAGAAAATATTAAAGTTCTTCATTTTGTACTTTTGTAAGCCATATTTTCCGTTTGAATAATTTTTTTTTTTTAATAAAATGAGAATTTAGGGCTCGTAGATATATAATTGAATAAACCGAATATGTAAAAAATTTTCTAATTTAGGTTGCGGGTATCGAGTCGTGAGTCTAGGGCATCGAGGGTAGTTTTTAGCTGAGAATTGAGCTTATTAATAGACAGCCCGTTTAATCGATTGATGGCGTGAAATAGCCCGTCATTGTAGGAGGCATATATGGTTTATATGTATATGATATATGTATGTAGAACATAGAGGATAGAGGATAGAAGATGGAAGGAATGTGCTCTGCACGGGTATAATCAAATCATATGTCTGTTGGAACATGGTGGTTATATGGGTGATATAATTGAATAAATGCCGATTGCGTGTCTTGTTATTTTGCATGTCGTGACGTTGAATTGCGCATTCGGGTTCTAATCTCATGTTTAATTTGCGAATTACTTGTCGATATAGAGTTTCGTTGACGTATTTAAACATATTGTCGATATTACGAATGCTGCGATATGTGTGATATGTGTGCATGCATTGACGCGTGCATGATTATCGCAATCAAAGGCAAAACCGATCACTCGATCTATAGTTTTATGCGGATAATGATAATATTGATGAAAGGGCACATTAATTTTGATATTAATCACCGTTGAGCTCGAGTTTATGATTTAGGAGTGGCTTTACTACGTAACATGTCATTGCGAAACATGGTATTTTTGACGATAATGCTAGAGCTATCGGTGTTTTCGTGTCTCTAGTATTTTATTTGAGTGTAATGATAATAATGATAGTAATGAAACTCGAGCAAATGTATCAATTGATGTTTTATTATTTTTATGGGCGTTTTTATTTCTTCATTCAATGTTTATACTTTTGTTTTTATTTTGATAAAATGAATAAGTCTTTTAAAATAAAATCGCGAAACAAGCTTGCGTGACTAATTAATACCCTGCTCATTACCGCAATGCGAAAACTTTTCTAAGATTGTGCAAAAAGAAAATTTTAAATACTGAAGTAGTTGCAAATTACATTGACGAAATTGATCCGCGGTTTTTGACGTCCGCTTGTGTCATCTATTTTTACTATTAATTATAATTTTTAATTTTTTCTATTGGTACCGAGAATTTCAATGCTAAGTTAAAGGGATAATAGGCTTTAAATCTCTTGATAAATTTATTTCTCATGATTATTGTTTTTAGGCTAAAAAGTTGATAATTTTATTATTTTTTTAGAAATTTTGGATTTTCAAAGTCATTTCCTCGCGTATCCAGAAACAGACAATTAATAAAAATATAATTAATAACTAGCAGCGTTGCAGTCACTATGTGACTGCCGGGACTTGTGAACCATAAATAAATAAAATTTTGCTTTATTAAATAATGAATTTTGTTAAATTGCCCTGTACTTTTTTAACTAATTAACATTTTTAAAGATATAAGCTCATCCCGATGTGCCACTCATTAAGAGCTTTCATTTGAGTACCTACATGCATTTTGATATATTTCTCATATATACATATATATAATATATATAAATATACGAAAAATTGATGTGGGTACTCAAATGAAAGGTCTTGATGAGTGTAACATCGGGATGAGCTTATATCTTTAAAAATGTCAATATTTCACAAGATAAAAACTCATTTCTTAATTATGCATCTAGAGATAGAGCATTTTCAAATACAGCCTAAACATTTATCATCATAAATTGACTATTGGTAAAAATGATGAAACTTTTTAAAGGCACAAATTCAAGTCAAGACCTTTCTAATGCTACCAAATTCAACCATAAAAACCCATTTTATCATATAAATACACTGGCCACAAAATTTTTCTTATTCTCTTAATAATATAGATTTCAATATCATATTATTAAAATTCCTAAATTAAGAAATCAAAATTACTAAAAATTCTCAAATTATTCAACAAAATAAAACTACCTCGATCAAAACTGAAGATTAGATACCTGGATGATTTACAACTGAAAATCACGTACATAAAGCCTTGAAGACGTCACCAGAATTTAGTTAGTATAATATAATATGGTAATAGAAACTTAGAAGATCCAGTTGGGGGTGAGTCGTGACTCGTGACACTGCTCAAAAGTCTGATAAGTCGGAGGCTATTAACGTCGTCGCGACGCCCACTTTCTCGGGTGCGGGGTATAATAGAACGCGTAATGGTAAGAGAATCACTAAATTGCCTTGGGAGAAGCGACGGCGCCTCTGGTCTTTCCTTGTTACGTCGAGACGTCGTTTTACTTTCACTATCATCCGCACCGCAATTATACATCTATAACCATAACTACATGGCTCACATATACCTACAATATTTGTCCTCATGTCCTTAGACATACCTATATACGAACACTAGACACCAGACCAGATGACATTGCGTAGGTAGGTAGAGCTATTAGCGTATTATATGAAATTTTCCAGAAACTCTGTTGAGGAATAGGGTCTAGCTCACCCTCTTTAATTCCCAGTCAACCATCCAGCATCCAACATCCAACATCCACCAGTTAACCAGCCAGTTAGCAAATACACCCCTACTTTACATACATACATTCGTGATTAGTAAGCCCGCAATTATTATTATTAATTACGACCTTAGTCTGCTCTTAAATCGCTGATCGCATCCCTCCCCCTTTGCGGTTCACCCATGGAAATATTTCATCGCCTTTTCCGCAAAGTATCCTGATCCTTAATTTAAAAGTTCTGTCCTCCACCTCCGCTCTTTACCCGCAAAAGCTCCTCCAATTACGATGCCGTTTTAAATGTAAATAATTAACGTTTCGCCCTTGGGGCCGTTTATTTGTTCCAGCTTTGGAAAGCGGACGGGTGGCAGTGCCAGGAGATCCAACGAGTGCTTCGTTCTCGAGCCCTCTCAGATGGTTGTCGTAAGTATTACATTGTTATTTTGTTTATTATAAGTATAAGTTTAAATATGCGCTTTTTGTTCACCTTTTTACGGTTAAATCCATTCACGCTGCGTAATGACCGTATGTACTTATTTACATATGTTCAGTATCTGTATATAAAGTAAAGTGTAGGTAAGTACCGTTGCAACAGTTTCAAGGCTCGAAATATTCATTGTTTCGTTATTTAAATCGGACATCAATTTTGTTCATTAAGATGTGAAATTTTTTAGATTTATTGTCTTTAATAATTTTATTATTTATTATTTATGTAATTATTTAATTAGAAGCAATTTTTATTTTACAATGGGTAATGGTTCGACTTGATGTTATAACTGCAAATGCAATATCCCATTCGTGGTGGGTAGCCTAGCGCAAACGCTGCGAATAGCGAAATTATAAAGTTTCTTCATTACAATTACCGAGCGTACTATTAATATAAGGAGTTTTTTTTTTTGCTTACGTTATTTTATGTACTTTGTTTATTTTACGCGCTTGTTATGATATAACCATGAAAATGTATAAATGCACCTGTGAAAATTATATACAGGAAATTGTTTAAAATTTATATACTTACTTGGGTAAATATTAATTTATTGTTCAAGTGCTCATTTTATAAATTACTTTTTTTGAAAAAGTTATTATACAATTATTACACTTTTTAAGCGTAAATAATTTAAAGTACCAAGAATTTTAATAAAAAAAAATTTTTTTTTTTTTCAATTAAATATAAAAAATTATGTTACAGTAAAAACAATATTAATAAAAATTCTTGTTTACTTTTAAATATTCATTTTCTCTTGAGATATCTCGAAAACAAGAACTTACAATTTTAATATTTCATAAAACCAATTTACATATTATAAAAGTAATTTTAAAAAACACCCTTTCAAAGTTTCTAAGAAATTTCATGCATTTTTAATAATATTTACTCTACATTTCTTTTATTAAAAAAAAAAATTAACACCAGAAATTTATTCAATTTTTTTCTTTTAAAAAAAATTGTCTTCCGTATGAAAATTTATTCAGAAAAATTCTTATTATAAATTTCACATCTCTGCATAATTTTCTCTACATATATAATCAACAAAAATTTTTTACAACTACAAAAAAATAAAACCTATCAATTTTCCTCGAGCAATTAAACGATATCTCTAATTAAATTGTAGTAAGCACTTTATTTCACTTATTTATAAATATAAATCGTTGTTAAGATAAGGCAATGACGTCCAACAAATAATTAGTTTAATTAACGTAACAAAGTTTAGTTTTACAAACAAAATTGTAATACAAAATTAAACTTACACATCTAATTGAAAATGTAGCAAACATATAACATGAAATATGATCCAAAGAGCATCATTTAGCTTCTCAACTCATCGAGTCTTGAATGTTGATGTTTGTAACAAGCAACAAACTTATATTCCGACATTCCTGAAGACATATCGCGGCTCAACTCTGGGAGACGTGACCTGAGACTAGACATTTAATCAATATTACCTTTAGTGATGCCGATGTTGCTTTTACTCTCGTATATATGGATGTAAATGTCCGTGTGTATAAAACACCACATACGGGATGTATTTGCAAACATATATACATATGTATTGCTCCAGGAACGTGTTGCTCGGATCGGATGAGATTGGTATTGCTATTGGGTGTTTGCTAACTAGCATATGCAAAGACGGCGATACACATACCAATAACAATAACAATAACAATACAATGAACGATACAAGGGCATATTGATTAATTCTGCTCTCATTAATTGCAAACAACGAGTAATTACATTCGAATTCACTCAATCACCTGTTTAAATATCTGATAATAATACCATTACAGTCATAATCATAATCATTATAATAATAATTGTTATTTTCATTATTTGATAACTTAATTTATTTTTAATTAATTGCTTTATACATGCTTCAATTTCGACGGGTTCGTATTTATTGAGTCATGTTGAACATAATCAATGACCGCGCTGTGCTGCCATCTACAGTCACGGAATCTGCAGTACCGACTAATTTAATTTAGATTCTTTGTTTGACATTTATAATGAGATTGGAAATAATTAAAATTAATTATCGACTGGCTCGAGAAAATTAACTTATAATTCATTAATTTTGTTTTAAAATTTTAATTTTAAATTGGTAAATACAATCTAAATTTAAATGTAGGATGAGATTGAGGATGGGATGTGGGAAGAAGTAGGTACAGATATAGTATAGTGTTTTCAATAAAATAAAGTCGGTATATATGGATGTAGAGGATGAATTGCGTGGTTTTAGTCTGCTCGGTTGGAATAAATCGTTTTAGCTCGGAATCGACGATCGGGTGCGAAACCTTGTTTCAGGTAATACGATACCAGCGTGCATGGATAATAACCCAGGATCCCGGATCGAGGTAGCTTGTATTTATGTATGTATGTATGTATGTATAATAGTACGATACGAATTTTATCTACGTGGATGAGGATATGGATACTTTTGGATGTAATGGTCGATCACGATTCTACCATTGGACAAAATCAAGCTAACCATGAAAATAAATTGGTGAATTTTAAAAGAACCATTTTGGTTTGATGGTTTTTTTTTATTGTTCGCGGTCGCGGTATTATCAATGGAATATCTTCATTGTTCAGTTTAATACAAAGCGGAAAATTTTATTGTTGCAATAAATCAACAGTAAAATCTGGTTGTTTAATAATAATAATAAAAATCCACACGCAAAAAAAAAAATTGGGGCTGCCACATGATTTTCATGTGACTGCCACATGATTTTCCTGTGGCAGCCACATGATTTTTTCCATATAGCTGCCACATGATTTTCCTGTGACAGCAGCATGACTTTTATGAGGCAGGCAATAATATTTAAAACAGCAATAATAATTATCATAATAATAATAATAATAATAATAATAATAATAATCTATATTATTAAGGGAATAAGAAAAATTTTGTGGCCAGTGCATTTATATGATAAAATGGGTTTTTATGGTTGAGTTTGGTATCATTAGAAAGGTCTTGACCTGGAGTTGTGCCTTTTCAAGGTTTCATATCATTCTCACCAATAGTCAATAGTGTTTATTATGATAGGAATTAAGGCTGCATTCGAAAATGCTCTATCTCTAGGTACATAATCAAGAAATTACCTCGTATCTGGTGAACTATTGCCATTTTTAAAGATACAAGCTCACTCCGATATACCACTTATCGAGACCTTTCATTTGAATATCCACATCAACTTCTCATATATTTATATATATTATATATATGTATATATTAAAAATATATCAAAAATGCATATGGGTACTCAAATGAAAGCTCTTGAAGAGTGTATCATCAAGATGAGCTTATATCTTTAAAAATGTCAATAATTAAAAAAGTACAGTGCAATTTAACAAAAGTCACATAGTGCCTGCAAGGTTGCTAGTTTATTATTAATTAGTATGATAAATTATTTTTGAATTTATTTTTTACCTGGACTCTAGCTTCAGTTAACTGTATTCTCAATGCCAGCTCTTCACGGAAGAAGACATCTGGATAATGCGTTTTTTGAAACGCGCGTTCTAATTCTTCTAATTGGAAGTTTGTAAATGTTGTACGGTACCTTCGTTGTTTTCTTTTTCCAACTCCGATTGTTATTTGGTGACGTTCTTCGCTCCCAGGACTCGGTGAAAAATCGTATGCTTTTATATACATTTATATAATATATATAAATATATGAAAAGTTCAAAGGAAAGGTCTCGATAAGTGGAATATCTGAGTGAGCTTGTATCTTTAAAAATGGCAATAGTTCACCAGATACGATGTAATTTCTTGATTATGTATCTAGAGATAGAGCATTTTCGAATGCAGCCTTAATTCCTATCATAATAAACACTATTGACTATTGGTGAGAATGATATGAAACCTTGAAAAGGCACAACTCCAGGTCAAGACCTTTCTAATGATACCAAACTCAACCATAAAAACCCATTTTATCATATAAATGCACTGGCCACAAAATTTTTCTTATTCTCTTAATAATATAGATTATTATTATTATTATGATAATTATTATTGCTGTTTTAAATATTATTGCCTGCCTCATGAAAGTCATGCTGCTGTCACAGGAAAATCATGTGGCAGCTATATGGAAAAAATCATGTGGCTGCCACAGGAATGTATCATGTGGCAGCCCCAATTTTTTTTTTTGCGTGCATGCTGTTTTTTATTTTATGTCGGGGTATGAATAAAAAAAAAACTTTTGGTTTATTTAAATGTAATTTTGATAGGAAAAACATTTTTTGGCTCCAAGCTTAGAATAAAAAAAAATTACTAGTCAATTTTATCTTAAGATTGAAAAAATGTGTCAACTGTGCAATTTTTAAATAATTTTTTGCAGTATATTTTTTTTTAACTAAAGAATAACTTTAATATTTGCCTACGCTTATAAAAAAATAAATTTTTTACAAGACATAAATTAAATTAAAAGAAAAATGTTTTTAGGAAAAACATTTTTTGGCTCCAAACTTAAAGTAAAAAAATTTTTAAATAATTTTTAGCAGAATATTTTTTTTTTAACTAAAAAATAACTTTAATATTTGTCTAAAATAAATTTTTTTACAAGGTTTAAATCAAATTAAAAAAAAAAATAACGTTTTAAAAAAAATAACTCTTTTTTTACTTACAAAAAGAGCAAATAAAACTAAGGTAGTGATTGATAGTAAATACTTGTTAGCATTACAAAATTCGCTCGAAGTAAAATCAGTAAACAGTATCGTAAAAGCAAGATCGGGAACGCATACGTGATAAGCACACCAATACTATCTTTTTCCAACTCAACAGATCTTTTTTACGATCGGTTTAGTTGCTATGCAATCTAAACCCTACAATCCTCCTTCCATAGAGTACTTTACTCAGTACAGTAAAACCCTATCTATATCGTATCAAATCTTATCTTACTCGACTTTTTGAGCTTCTGAGCAATTGGCATTATCCAAGAATATAGAAGCAACTCATTCTACTATA